TACCATTTTCACTGCTCCTTATAAGAGCACACCTGAGTGTCATGACAGGTAGGGACTGCAGGTGGCAGCCTTACCTGCCGAAGGGACCTTTCAACTGACAGCAAATGGCCACAACAGCCTCGCAAGCTAGGGTAGGGATTCAGTAACAAAGGCAAATCTCTTCCCACAGAAGCCTTGTCAGTATTAGGAATGTGTGCTCATTTCCTAGTTTTTCTGTTTTGCTGACAGGTCTATAGTCAGGGACTAAAATTGAAGCTGGAATCCTTGTTGGCTTTAGTATATGCAGGTTTCAGGCTTTGAATTTTTATGCCATGTCTAACAAAACAATGTCCAAAAGCTTCCTGAAATTCCATGGACTTTGTTCATCACTCAAAGCTAAGATTGCTATTGTGGAAGGGATAATCTCTCGGATCCAGGAGGCTCACCCGTGGTCTCATCAGAGTTACTCCCAGCACATGGTTTCAGGCTAGTTCTGAGCATGTTATTCACATAATCCCTGGCAATGATTTTAGATTCAGATTCCAGAGACCAAATCTAAATGCAAGGTTCAAATAGCTTATCGACTTTCTCCTCCCTGAGTGGAACAATCCACTCAGGTAAGAGTTGTCCATTAAGCCAGCGCTCCTTCTCTTATATTTCTGGCTGACTTCCTTTAATACAGTTCACCTTTACCATGTCTTTCCTTAGAAATCTATTCCATTTGTTAAATAGTACAAAATTCCATCATGTCTCCATATTCAATCAAACTATTGATTCTTTCCTTGTAAACTTTTCAGTACCTTTCTAGTTTTCCCTTCTCCAGCCTCCCCACGTATTTTTGTTATGACATGGAATAGCAGTACCAGCCTTTTCGGTGTGCAGTTTCAGCTGCTTACATTCATACTGTGAAATTTTCACCTGCACTTTTGAAAGTATGTCTCACTTGGATTTCAGATCCTGGCCCTCTAGGAATCCTGCTGCCTATTTGCAGGCTCCTATTTCTACTGATTCTCCCCAAGACTTAGTTTTGTACTATGACTACTATTAGCACGTTATTTCCTTGAACTTATTAAAAGCAACATTTCCAAAAACTGCACTTAAGATAACTCACTTCTTAGTATTTCTGTTTTTTTTTTCAAAATGTGTTTTTGAAATTAGGATTAAAGTACAGTTTAAGCAGGACGCTGCAAAATTTTAACACATATGCAAAACATAAAGACATCATACTGGACAATTAACTTTGCTGTTTTCTTTTCTTTCCTTTATGCTTGGAACCTGCAGCTCCTCTTTCCCAGTTGTTTACTCAGAATATAACACTCCACCTTGAGACACAGCCACCCCACTATGCTGTAACATGAGAAGCTGTTCTGTTCACCCTCCTGCATTTGGTACCAATTTGCTTCCATCTCTGCTACCTCTATCCTATCCCTACTCTTTTAGTCGATATTTTAAATTCAGATCAGATATATTGTTATTATTTTAAGTTCTGCATTTACCTTTCAGCACCTGTGGTATCCTTCTACTTTTTACTTACTCATAACATTTAATGATTAAAAACTCCATTCATTTTGCTACAAATATCAAAAATTTAATTTCAAAATACCATTCCATTATATATGTATATCACATTATTTTTATTCATTCATCTTCTCATGGATAGCTAGGTTGATTCCACTTACTGTCTTTGTGACTATTTTTGTAATGAACGTAAATACAGATATGTATTTCATATACTGATTTTTTAGATAAAAATATACAAAAGTGGGACAGCTGAATCACATGGTAGATCTATTTTTGGAAAATCAACATATTGGCCTATATTATATTATATTATATTATATTATATTATATTATATTATATTATATTATATTATATTATATCATATCACATCATATCATATCATATCATATCTATAATAATATGCATTCTTATGGATAGTGTATATAGATCTCCTTTTCCACATCTTTGTCAAGATGTGTTGTTTTGGCTTTTTTGTTTTATTTTGTTTTTGTCTTTTTGATAATGTATATTCTAACTAGAATGAGATGATACTTTTCTGATCGTGGTTATGACCATTATTTTCATATATCTATTTGTCTTTCTTCTTCTGAGAAATGCCTACTGAGATCTTTTACCCAATTCTTCACTGTATTGCTTTTTGGGATCTCAGTGACATTTTATGATCCAAAAGCATCCAAACATCTTCCCTTGTTTTAATATCTTTGTTATATATATAGTTCTATTTGATATATACAGCATTTGTGCACTTGTCTTACTTGTCCTTCATAGCTCTTTTTCCCCTTTTATTGTTGTCAAGTGTGAGTTCTGATATCCACCTTGGTATTTAGAAAATGTTCTTCTCTTAGCTAAGAGGTTCTTCAGGAGAGTACAACTGATGATGGGCAGACAATCCCTTTTAATGCAAAAAGTTCTGCATTCCTGGCTAAAGCTCTCTAAACAAGCTCTCCCAAGCCAGTACTGAAACAGAGTGTGCTGCTGGTTAGATGATTGCTCTTGGCAGTGGGCTCAGATGTCCTAACCAAGCATCACCTGCTACTTGCTCCTGCTTGCTGCTCTCTAGAGCTCTAGGACAAGTTGAGAAACATTGTTAAAAAAAAAAAAAAGTCACAAGCTCTAGGCCTGCTGCTGAAAAGGGGGAAACAAAAGGCTCTAGAAAAGAAAACAAAAAAAACTTACACAGAGATGTTCAGAAACCTGCCTGACCTGAAACAAGAAGCCTCTCAGAGGCCAAGAGGAAGCAGCTCTAGAAACCGAGAAGACATCAGTAGATAACATGCTTCCACAGGAGCCTGGGAATCAGTGCCGCTGAGATGGGGAAGAAATGAGAATGTGCGGGTGAAGTGGAGGACAGTTTTCTGTGAAAGGAATCAAAATTAGAGCACAAATTGGGGTGGGACGCCACGTAAGAGGTTTTGTTTAATAGAAATAACAAAGTATAGAAAAGCACATTGAAAAATGAAATAAAAAGATAAATTCGCTTTTTGATGAAAGCTTTGAAATCCCTGCACGATCTTTGTATGACACACAGATCCCATGAATTTTCTGAAATATCCTTGCATGTGTGATATCAGATGCTCCCTCAGAAAGCGATGCCTTCCATTTCTCGGCAGCACATGAAACACATGACAAAAGTTAACAAAAAGAATAATTTCCACAAAAGGAATATATGAATCTTCACAACCATAATGCCATTTTCAGAATCCAAGATTCAGCAAGAATAGGATGTAGACAACAGAATATCCTAAGAAAGCAGAAGCAGATTAGTGTGTGAACAGAAGAAGTCGGGGCATTGTCTTCATCTTCTTGGTGGGCTCAGTAGAGGAATGTGAACCAGACAAAGCACAGATTTGTAGAATATTTTCAGGAACAATGAAATTCTCAGATGTTTTATTTCAGTGCTCTCACTTTCTATAATGAAATGAGATAATAAATCCCTATTTGTGTCTGAGTATTCTAAAATAGCTTTTAAGAATAGAAAAATCTGACAGTTGCTGAGGAAAAAGGAAGGAAGAAACATGAAAATAGTTGAATATTTCCAATCTTGTATTTATCTACTCAGGCTATGTATAAATGGTGCTATGATTGAAAAAGAAGTTAAGAAATTTCCTTTAAAAAATGCTTTGTGGAGAAAACTGGCATTTATTCCTCAGTAATTTTTTAAAGTAATTTATTTATTTATTCTCTATTATTTGTAACTTCTGAGAACAATAGTGGCTGATCCTTCATCCAGTATGGGCAAGACCCCGGATCACAGCACTCAACCAAATGGATTCCACTGGAAACACAAAGTGCTCCTGTCCCTAAAAGGACCTTACAGTTTTCATAAACTAAAATCATTGTGAAGGACACAAACGTGTTACCAAGGAATGCAGAATATTTTAAAAATTACATCTATACTCACCATGTAGACACATGTAGACATTTTCTTGTTGCTTTCTAGTTGTTTTATCTTAAAAATATAACACCATAACAATTTGTCTAGCATTTACACTGCATTCAGTGCTGAGTGACCTAGAAGTGATCTAAAGCATGGAGAAGAATCTGCACAGCATATACGCAACTCTTAGACCATGCTGGGTAAAGACATTGGATATGTATGGGTTTCATTATTTTCACGGTGTCCTTGAACAAACTCCTGAAAATACTGTGATATAATTATGCTGTAAACAGACAGATACACACCCCAAAGTTACCTCATTTATGACAGAATATAAGAGTTCAGACAATTTTTCCTCTTTTTTACCTCCATGTGCTCTACATTTTTGTACAAAATGGTGTTGAACAATTGAACACATTAATCTGTTTTTGAGAAACAACTTGCTGTGCTCTCATGTGTTTCAATGATTGTCTACTTCATGTGTCTTGGTTTACCTCCCCCCCACCTCAATCAAATTCTCACCTATTACACTTGTGTGTAGCATAATACATTACACTACGACATTTGGTTTCCTAAGAAACTAATGAACAGCCAACAGAACAATTAGTACTGTTGCAAGCCATTATATAAATGGTATACGTTTACTACGATCTAGTCATCAGACATGATCAGAAAGGATAACTATACAGGCACAGAAAGAATAATGCTTGACAGGAGCTGGAAGAAAGGCACAATAGGAAGTGGCAGCGATGAAAATATAAACAAAGAAAGTTGAAAGGGGAATAGATAAAGAAACTGCTGTATATCTACTCTATGAAATACTATATAGCCATTTTAAAAGAAATGAGATTCTACCATTTGCAACAAAATGGTCCCAACCAAAGACCATGATGCTCAGTGAAATGACCCAATCACAAAAGGACAAATATATGTTCCTTCAAATATTAGACAACCTTCATGCAAAATACAAAGCAAGTAGTAACATAGGTGAACAAGTATATGCATACATTCTAATAGATGAACTATATAGTGGAGGCTAGCATACTTGGAAGTGAAGATATATTGCAATAGGTATCTCTACTCCAATTTAAAGGAGGACTCCTAATCATTTAAATATACTTTGACACTATAATACCAGCCTTGGTATCTTTCTCTATTCCTTGCGCAGGGGCCATGCTAATCTTTTCTGTACTGTTCCAACTTTAGGATCTGTGCTGCTGAAGCAAGCACTTCTCTCTTCCTACAATATCATGATGCAGTTAAATATCAGGATGTTAAACTTGTAACTGTTCATAAAGCACTATACAACTAGACCACTGTAATAGTATAAGGAGGAAACAGTGGAAATGCAGAAGGACAAAGGGGTGAGGAAGGGGGGAATCCCTATACCTGCAGGACTGTGTCATGCACTAATAACAATGAAAAAAATTTAAAGAATTCTGTGATAAGTAATTATATCCAAGTAAAAGCTCTCATTTAAATGAAGACTATCTGGGCTGTCTATTGTGCTTCAGAGTTAAGTTTTCACATGGTAGGGCTCGCATCCATATTGGAGTGAATCCCACATCTGCTTCCAATCCCATCTTATGCTAATGTGCACCCTAAAAGGCAGATGACTCAAGTGCTTGGGTATCTGCCAACCACTGGGAGAGTCAGAGGCAGCTCTGGACTCCTGGCTTCAGCCTAAACCAGTCTCAGCTATTACAGCTTCTCTCCTCTCTCTCTCTTTCTCTCTCTCTCTCTCTCTCTTTCATTCTGCTCTCACACTTCCTTTCAAATAAATAAATCAATTAGCTTTTAAAAAAAGGATTGTGATAGAAATCAAGGTGATTAAATAGCATGCTTGACAGTGTTTGGTATATAGTTAAACAATAAACATTAGCTAATACCATTCCAGATTGTTTGAAGTTATGAATACTTCTGTGTCAATAGTAACTAAAAGGACAACTGGGCCAACTTGCTTTTGTGGAGACAAGTGCTCACAAAATATGCTATGGGATCCTATTTTCCATTGTAGGGCAGCAGCTGTGTAATCCCCCTTCCTGGAGCTCGTCAAAGTGGAGCAACATCTTTATGTGGAAGGTAAAGCAAGGGTCACTCCACAGACCTGGGACATTTCCTGTCCTGTGTTGGTCATCAATATGCAAAAACTCTCCAGGGCCCCATTGCTGCAACAGAGAAGGACAGGTTCCACCAATGCTAATATTGATGACAAGAAATCTCAAATTAGGAGGAAAGTTCCAACCAAATACTAGATGCTTCCCAATGTGATAAACATTGGTTTTGCTACAAGGGATGGAGGTGGGATTTAAGCAGAGAAGAAACACTTTCTACATCTGAGCTTACCACACAATCTGGATTTATGAAATCCAATAAAAGAGCTTAACGGTTTAGCAGTGTATTATGAAGGAGCCACTTTATTGTGACAACATGGCCTATTACATGCACATGGCCCTGAAGGTATGCACATTTGTGGATTGTTTAGTTGTTAGATGTACTCTCACTGAATTCTCTCTTTTAAAAGAGGAAGGGGAATGCATGAAGATAGACTTGTAAATAACAGAAAATAATGAATACTCCCATGGGTTTTTGTTTGTTTTGTTTTTCAACCTGACAATTTTCAAATTCAGCTCTAACAAATGTCTTGTTCAATTCCAACAGGTAAAAATCCAAACTAATTTTAAGATATATTTCTTTTTACTGGGAAGTCATATTTACAAAGAGAAGGAGAGACATAGAAAAAGATCTTTCACATGCTGCTTCACTTCCCAAACAGCCACAATGGCCAGAGCTGAGCCAATCCTAAGAAAGAACCAGGAGCTTCTTCCTTGCCTCCTATGTGGGTGCAGGGTCCTAATCCTGTGGGCCATCCTTGCTGTTTTCCCAGGCCATTAGCAGGGAGCTGGACGGAAAGTAAAGTAGTCAGGAATAAACTGGTGCCCATATTGGTCTCAGCACTTGTAAGGGGACAATTAGCCACTTGAATCATTGCACTAGGCCCCAAAACCCAAACCGTTTTAAGTCATCAACCATCACAGTGAAGAATAAGTATTTGTTCAGCTTTCTTTCCATTGTAAAACACTTTAAAATGTGGATGAATTATTTATTAAATTCATTTTGTAAAAAACTCAATGTAAAGATTTCTATCAAAAATTGAGCTCTAAGTCCTCACTTGATTAAATAAATAAAAACCATGATTCTAAAGTAAGTTATAATGACTATAAATGTCAAATGACAAAGCAATAAACATACACAGAAATGATATTAACAAAACACATAGTATCCTTCACTCTGGACTTTAGCCAGATAATAATTTCTGCCTAAAGTGCATACACAGTTTTAATTTCAAGCAAAGATATATCATTCAATTTATACCAATCACACACATGAACTTATACTGACTATTGGATGTACAAATCTGTGTTTAACACCATCAGGTACCCTCAGCCATCAGTACTCTGTTTTATTCAGACAAGTTCATCACTGTGATGGGCACTGAGGGAAACAGAAAATTGTTGAACACTAACATCAAACTCACAGCTTGTTAGAGAAGTTACAATTAAACCATTAACCTCAGCACCCAGCAGCTGAAGGCTTAATCTAAAGGAAGAGCTACTGGAGCACTGCCCAGACCAGGTGGCTGAAGGAAGACCAGTGAGGAGTTCACAGGTAAAAGGGCTGCTGTGTTTAGATGTAATCCACATGTGTGCCCACGGTACTCACGTGTTGAAACCCGTATCCCACGTGAGATGTTGCAAAGATGGAAACTTGATCCAATTACAATATTGAGAAGATGGACCTTTAGGAGTTTATTCAATCAGATCAAGGCATCAAGGTGGTGTTATCATGAGAGAACACTCGTAGTCTTATTAAAACACCGAGAGTGGGACAAAAAATAAACACATGCATGCATGCATGTATTGATTAATATCAATACATGCACTTGTTCATTCAATATCAAAAATTTATATTTAAGTTATTTAAGGGTGTTATCAGTGCAGGAAGATGGGAGATCTGATTCAGCGCTAGTTAAAATATCCTTTTGAAACTTTCTACCTATCTCTGAGCAGTGTGTGGCAGAGACAAGGGGATGTTAGTATCAGGAAGAAGCAAACAAGAAGAATCTCCAAAGAAACTCAAACATATTTAGTGTTTGAAAGTTAAGTCAAATTTATCCATGTGAAGGAAAAAAGGCAAGAGGTGAGAGGTTGGCGGCTTTGGCGGCTTAAAAACACATACTGTGTGCGGAAGACAGAGGAGGACATGCACAGACGCCAGTCAGCCGAGAAGACATCCAAGGCCTTCCCAGACCATGTGTGAAGATCTCGGCCAGGCACGACAGCGTAGCGGTTAAGGTTCTCGCGTTGAACATGCCAGGATCCCATATAGACGCCGGTTCTAATCCCAGCGGCCCCACTTCCCATCCAGCTCCCTGCCTGTGGCTTGGGAAAGCAGTCAAGCACGGCCCAAAGCTTTGGGACTCTGCACCCATGTGGGAGACCTGAAGGAAGTTCCTGGGTCCTGGCTTTAGATTGGCGCAGCATCAAACGTTGTGGCCACTTGGGGAGTGAATCATTGGATGGAAGATCTTCCTCTCTGTCTCTCCTCCTCCCTGTACACCTGCCTTTCTAATAAAAATAAATAAATCTTTTTTAAAAAGAAAGTAAAGATCTGGGCCTAGCATGGAGCCTAGTGGCTAAAGTCCTCGCCTTGCATGCACAAGTTCTTGTAATTGTTTTTCCTCAGTAACTGAAACACACATACAATTCCTTTACCAAGGTTTCCAGTACACTAGTCCATAGCAGTTACACTTGTCTGTTACCCCATGTTCAAGCCTAACCAACATCACATTAATCTATATGCAAATCTGGTGTAGTCCTTCTAAAATTAAGGTCTGCTAATGTCCTCCCTACTTAAAATCCTCGATGACTCCTCATTGACCACAGAATGAATTCCTGTATCTTCATGGTTTAGAAAGACACTGATGATATATCTAAAGATAGCCTGTCCAACTCATTTCTTACCATTTGCTCCCTCTGATTCAGTTTATGCCCTTGGAAATACTTATTAACAGACCTTCTTCCTCCTACTGCAGACCAATCTTTCCCTTTTTTTCTCTTACGTATTTTCTGTGAATCCTTCTATTGTCACTGTGGACATCACTACCTCAAAGTATCAGAAGATATGTCTTCTCTTCTGTTACAATGTAAATAACTCAAATTTAAACAATATATGTCAGTCATAATTATATTTCCAAATGCTTAAATTAAAATCTGGTGATTTTTTATTAGGATTGGATGGATGTCTGTATAAATATGTGAATGAATGCAACTTTGTGGTGCATGAAGAGGGTTAGAATTCAAGAAATTATGTTCAGGGAGATCAGTAACAAAGCCAGGTTAGCAAATCTAAAGCTGATTTGTCAGTCCAAGTGGGAAGAGATACTGAGAGCCAAGCAGTGAATTAAAAATGGAGCTGAATATTCCAGAAGCTCTAAGGAGCACCTGCCAGGAGACACTGAGGAAAGGTTAATTCAGTGAGCTAGAACAGATCATGAAGATTTTTCATGGGTTTGCACTGGCATATGGAGTTCATTTAAAGAAATTCTCGTAGAAAAGACAATGAGCAGTATGGAGAGACTGAAGTATTTCAGATAGAAAAATGCAATGATTATATTTTTGGAGAAAATAGCATTTTAGGCATTCAAAGGTTCATAGACACCTCTGCACCAGGATGGCACCAAAGGCAAAGAAGGAAGCCCCTGCCCTCACAGAGCTGAAGCCAAAGCAAAGGCTTGAAGGCCAAGAAGGCAGTGTTGAAAGGTGTCCACAGCCACAAGAATAAAATTAGCATTTCACCCACCTTCCAGTGGCCCAAGACACTGCACCTGCAGCAGCAGCCCAATACCCTTGGAAAAGTGCCCCCAGGAGAAATAAGTGTGGCCACTATGCCATCATCAAGTTCCCCCTGACCATAGAGTTTGTATGAAAATATATGACAGCAACACATTCCTGTTCATTGTGAATGTCAAGGCAAACAAACACTGGATCAAACATCTCATGAAGCTCTATGGCATTGAAGTGGGCAAAGTCAATACCCTGAGCAGGTTTGACAGAGAAAGGAAGGCATATACTGCAACTGGCTCCTGAATATGATGATCCCAAGAAAATTGGGATCATCTAAACTGCATCGAGCTAACAATGGCACTAACAGGTGAATCACATTATTGC